AGGAGAGGGCTGTTTTAAAACCCCAAAGATTTTTTTTGGGGGGGGGGGGGCAACATTGGCGGCAGCGGAGTTTGACCCATCATGGCCACCATCATGTCCAGTTATTATGGTCGCCACTCCTTGTGTTTTCAGCACTCTCAGGTCCAGAGCCTCTTCACAAAATGGCTGCCACATCAAGGCCTCTCCATGTCATGGCCGCCGTTCCAGAGTCTCGTCCCAAGATGGCCGCCATTCCAGAGTCTTGTCTCAAGATGGCCGCCATTTCAGAGTCTCTTCCCAAGATGGCTGCCAACTCAGATTCCCGTCCCAAGATGGCTGCCAGTTCAGAGTCTCGTCCCAAGATGGCTGCCAGCTCAGAGTCTCGTCCCAAGATGGCTGCCAGCTCAGAGCCTCGTCCCAAGCTGGCTGCCAGTTCAGAGTCTTGTCACAAGATGGCCACCTACCCAGAGTCTCTTCCCAAGATGGCCACCAACCCAGAGCCACTTCACATGATGGCCACCTGCTCAGAGTCACTTCACAAGATGGCCGCCAGCCCAGAGCCTCCAGTCGTTATGGATGTCAAGCCACAGTCTTCAGCCATCACTGATGCTACTCCAGTGTTACTGAGCATCGTGAATGTTTAGTTTGAAGACACTAAGGCTTTCCAAGGGTGTTTTAGGCTGGTGTCAAGTCTGGCGGATCCACCATTGATGTCGGTGCATGCAACGGGCATCCCAAGAGCTTCAGCACTGGTCGTCACAGAGACTGTTCCTCTATCCTCAGTGCTTCCTGTAATGGCGGTCGCCATTCTGTGTGTTTGGGCTACACATTGCTCTGTTCCCGCTCCAGTCTGTGAATCTACTCCTGAATCTGCTCCAGTCAATGAATCCGCTCCAGAATCCGCTCCAGTCCATGAGTCTGCTCCAGAGCCTGCTCTAGTCCTCGAATCTAATCCAGAGCCCACTCCAGTCCATGAGTCTACTTCAGCTCTTCCCGAGGTGGCAGCTTCCGCTGCAGAACCTCCCGAGTCAGCGGTGTCCGCTTCTGAACTCTCTGCCTGTCATGTTATGGTCAAGGAGACCGTCTATGAACTCTCTGTCTGTCCTGTTACGGTCAAGGAGGCCTTCTGTGAACTCTAAGCCTGTTCTGTCTTGGCCACAGAGGCCGTTGTTAACCTCTCTGTGCTCTCTGTTCCAGTCATGCCTGATCCGCCTTGGTGGTCACCTGCCTCGTTAGCTCTACGTTGGTGGTCATCTGCGCTGCTGTGGGGATCTTTGCTCTCCTCTGCTCAGCCCTGGTGGTGGTCTGCTCCACCATGGGGATCTTCGGACCCATCTGCTCAGCTGTGGTGCTCTTCAGCTCTGCCCGCTCCGCCCTGGTGCTCTTCAGCTCCGCCCTGGCTTCCTGCTCTGCCTTGGCTCTCTGCTCCGCCTGCTCTGCTCCATTAGAGGGCACTCCACTCCAGACTCTTGCCATTGTTTTCTGGACTCCATTTCCCATGTGTCCCATGCCCCTCATGTGATCTTGTCATGTGCTACCCTTGTCTGTGTGTTATGTTCTGATTGGTTTCTTGGTTGCATGTGTCATGTTCTGATTGGTTCCCTGGTTGCATGTGTCTTGTTCTCATTGGTGGATTTTATCATGTGGTCTCCTGGTCTAGTATAAAAGATGCTCTCACTCACTCTGCTGATTATTGTATAGTCATTTCCTTGTTTCTAGTTTCCGAGTTTTCATTTCCATGTTTCCTAGTTTACCTGTGTTTTGATCTTTGGACTGTTTCCTTGTTTTTTGATTGATTGCTGCCTGCCCTGACCATCGCCTGTTTGTGGATTACTCTTTTGCCTCTGCCTTGGATTATACTGTTTTCTGGTGCTCGACCCTGCCTGTTTTGACCACGTCTGTTAATAAAGCCTTGCATTTGGATCCCCAACTCTGTTGTCACGCTCTCCATGTTACAATATCAGCATTACAAATGTGATATTGATTTTATACAATTTTAAGAAGTTAATATTAAGTGACATTTTGGACACAGTATTATCATTGTTGGATCCTTCAGATGCATACGCATTTGTAACTCATTTTAAGGTTGTACTTCTATTTTAGGATAGTTTCACTTTAACTTTTTCACACTCCTTACCTCATGTACTTTACCTACTGTATGTTTGTTCGGGGAAAAAGACTGATGTGCCATCAAAGCAGTTATTTATCATACAGGTTAGTGTCATTTATACAGTGACAAAGCCTGCCTCAATACCAAACAGGAACACATGGAGATGCCCACAGACCGCTATACTGTAGCTACATTGACCTGACTGCATATAGATATATACAGAATTAATAAACACAGCAAAACACAAATGAAACATAAAAACATTCTGAATGTTTCGAAACTGAAGGTGGTTCGACATCATCAGTGAACAGTTCTTCTATCAGAGTCAGTGTCTTCAGCTATCTGGCATGCTGTGGAGTTGAGACAAGTAAGGAAGATTATTTATAAAGCAATTTTTGGTGGTAGAAGTGATATAAAGTGGGGGAAATATTTATTTGATCCCCTGCTGATTTTGTAAGTTTGCCCACTTACAAAGAAACGAAGGGTCTGTAATTTTTATGGTAGGTTTATTTTAACGTATAGAGACAGAATACCAACCAAAAAATCCAGAAAAAAAAAACACATTATATAATGGTTAGAACTTGATTTGCATTTCAGTGAGTGAAATAAGTATTTGATCCCCAATCAAAACATGACTTAGTACTTGGGCAGAAACCCTTGTTGGCAAGCACAGAGGTAAGACGTTTTTTGTAGTTGGTCACCAGT